GTAATTCCACTCCTAGGCATATACCCCTAAGATGTCCATTCATACAACAAGGATGTCTGTTCCACTACGTTCATAGCAGCATTATTTGTAATAGCTAGATCCTGGAAACAACCTAGATGCCCCACAACTGAAGAGTGGATAGAGAAAATGTAGTACATTTACACAATGGAGTACTACTCAGCAGAAAAAAAAAACAATGGAATCTTGAAATTAGCAGGCAAATGGATAGCACTAGAAGAAACTATCCTGAATGAGGTAACCCAGTCACAAAAAGACAAACATGATATGTACTCACTCATATTTTAGACATGGTTCAGGGGAATGTCAGCCTACAATCCCATTGCCAGTGATTCTGGGAAACATGGAGGTTCCCAAGAGATATGCAAGATACCCCAGAGAAGTGGAATGAGACAAGATTTCCTGAGCAGAGTGGTAACATGGGGGGAGGGGAAAGGGAACCAGGAAAAAGAGAGAGGGAGAAGAGGAGGGAAGAAGAAGATATGGGGGAGCAGAAAGGATGAGTCGGGGTAAGAGTAGAGTAGAGCAGGATGAGAGATACCATAATAGATGGAGTCATTATAGGTTTGAGAAGAGAGCTGACACTAGTGAGATTTCCAGAGATCTACAAGGATAACACCAACTGGCAAACTAAGCAATAGCGGAGAGACTATCTTAATAGCCCCTCCCTGATGATGATAAGATTGATGACTACTTTATATGCCATCCTAGAACCTTCATCCAGTGACTGATAGAAGCAGAGGCAGATACCCACAGCTAAACACTGAACTGAACTCCTGGAACCCAGTGACAGAGGTGGAGGAGTGATGAGCAAAGTGGTCAAGACCATGTTGGTGAAACCCACAAAGACAGCTGATCGGACAAGGGGGAGCTCTTGAACCCCAAACGGATGGCTGAGAGGCTAGCAGGGGATTGATCCAGACTCCCTGAATGTAGTGTCAGTGAGGAGGCCTCAGCAATCTCTGGGGCCTTGGGTAGTAAATCAGTGTTTACCATGGCATACGAATGAACTTTGGGAGTCCACTCCACATGGAGGGACGCTCTCTCAGCCTGGACACATGGGGAAGGGCCTAGGTCCTGCCCTGGATGAAATGACAGACTCCAGAGATCCCCCCATGGAGGGCCTTACCCTCCATGGGGAATGGCGTGGGGAGTGGGGAGGGCTGGGGGAGCTGGTGGAGGGATAAGGGAGGAGGGGTGGGAGAGGGAACTGGGATTGACATGTGAAGCAAGCTTGTTTCTAATATCAATAAAAACATATATTGAGGAAAAAAAGAAGACAATAGATTTCTTGTGAGAGGAGAGATTAATTCTGCTACTGTGCAACAATACTGCAGGGCATTTAGGAAGAAACAATATATAGCTGCTTTAGCAGTGTTTGTGGTTTCAAACAAGCACTGGATCCTATCTCTTGCAGAGAAGGCATGTGAAGACTAGTGTACGGGTATTTCTTCCAGATCCACATTGTGTAAAATCTTTTGGACATACACACATAAGTGGAACTGTTAGATCATCTGGGATTTTGTTTAATATTCTGAGAAGAAATCCATATTATTTTCTACACAAACATTACCATTTTACATTGCCATTGGCAATGTATAAGGTTTTAACATCTCCACTTCCTCACCTAACACTGTGTTTTGCTTTTTTGATAATAACCATCATAACAGGTTATTATTCATTGTGGCTTTGAGTTCTATTTCTCTGGAAATTAGAGATGCTGAATACCCATTCATAAACCTGTGGGTACATTTTGATAAATATCTGTTGTGTCATAATCCTTCTGTACACTGTGAATATGTATTACTCTCATTGCTTAATAATGAACTGACTAGCAGGCAGGAGGTGTAGGCAAGACAACCAAACTAAGGATGCTCGGATGAAGAAGGGTGGAGACAATGGAGTCTCCAGGAGACGAAGAAGGAGCAAGCCATGCTGAAGGCATATAAAGCCACGGACCATATGACAATACGTAGATTAATAGAAATGGGTTAGTTTAAGTTTTAAGAGCTAGTTAGTAATAGGCCTGAGCCGGTGGACAAGCATTTATAAATAATAATAAGTCTCCATGTTGATTACTTGGGAACCAGTGCGTGGGAAAAAGTCTACTTACAAATATCTATTCAAGCCATCTGTAAAATTTTAAATCATATTATGTGCTTCTGTGCTATTGTGTTTTACATGTCTAACTACCATTTAACCATATTACACACATTTAGTAGTCCATGAGAACACTAGAATATATTAGACATTTGTAGATTTGTAGAGTTTGCTACATTCATAGTCATAAAGCCACCCATCTTTCTTTTTGAACAGGTTAGCGTACTTTGTATCTTGTGAGTGTACTACCATGGTCTCCACTGACAATTGGTGATGACCTAAAGACAACCACATACTGGGATGTAAAGTACAGTGTAAGGTCTGGATTCCAGGGAGTCCTGTGTGAAACATAATCATATGTTTTCTTAAGACATCAGAATACTCAATACCAAAAAAGCAGGTATAACAGAAAGAACAGCAGAGTGCAGCCCAATCCTCATAAAGTCGAGGACTCTTGCTGAACTGATAACTTTAGTCTCAGAACAACTCAGTGATCTGAAAAACCATTTGGTCTTCCATCCCTTGTTAAGTACTGGAACAATCCCTTCCTTGTGCTCTTGGTGATATTGCCAGACTGTAATCCCAGCACTAAGTAAGCTGACACAGGAAGAGCATAAATTTGAGGCTAGTGCTGTTAGTATTCAGGCATCTGTACTGGCCTGTTCTTGGGGTTCTGACAGGATATGCTCTCAGCTGCAACCACTAAGAGCACCACCTGTGCATATTCACTATGTTCCCTTTTAAAAGGGCCCTGCCCACCTCCCATCCCCTCCTCTCTCTCCCTCTCTCTATTCCCCTCTTTCCTTTCTCCTCTCTTCTTCTGCTCCTGTCTCTGGATACTGGTCTACTCCCTTCCCTTTCCCCTTTTTATGATCCCTTTCCCTAGTAAAAAAGCCCCTCTGCTTGAACCCTGACACATGGCATCTGTCTCTCGAGCAATCGTTTTCTTAAATTACAAGTGTGGGCTACATATTGAGACCCTGCCTAAAAAATAAACAAAAACGAAATATCTACTCCCTCAACTAGGATTGCCTGCTCCTACACTTATTACAACCTGATTTCCTAATAGGTAAAACCCTTAGAAGTACCTAATATCCTCCCAACGTTAAACCTCTATAATTCAGAATTTTGCCTGACTACTCTTCATTCTGTCAAAATAATCTATGCTAAATGGATGCCTAAGCTCATAATGAATAATTGTGATAGTTACATTTTAGATGGAGCAATCACAAGCTAATTAAGATGACTGTTTATTGTTGAAATTTCTATCCCAAGGGACAAGGAGTCACCTTTCCAATGTCCATTCTGTGCCGCTTCTCTGATCTTAACCCTTCATCTCTGAGAAGCAGGAGCCCAAGTGATCTAACCTTAACATTAATGCTAGGAAGCGCTAACACACTAACTGACAGGGGAGCACCAGTGGCTGCTGGAGGTGTTTTCTACCTCTAGAGAGAAGGGTTCTCTCACTGGTAGACAAGATTCCACTCTAACTCAGTCACCTTCGTATCCTATGACAAGGTGGCAGCTGGACTAAGCATCTATCTGAAAACAGAGTTCAAGAAGAGCAGTCTTACACTACTAGACACACTGTGATATGAAACCTGACCTCCAACACTTGAGAAGCACAGCCATGCCGGGATCTCAGTTATCAAGGATGGAGCATTCTGAAAACAGTGCACTTCTTCTTAACGTGGATAAAGACTGTATGATTTAAAATTTTAAATCATAGTTACCACAGTGACCATGAAATTGTATTGAGAAACAAGAGACTGTTTAAGAAGTGTCTTTAGACACTTAGAATGCCTTATAGCTTTTCCACAGTTTTTAATTCTAAGGAAAACTTCTTTCCTGTAGTGATTCCTGCTCACCAGCCGATAATATTACTAAAAGTCTGTTGGGAGACGTTATTCTGTAAATATGTGTCTGGTTGGTTTGAATAAACACTGTTGACCAATAGAGAAACAAGATAGGTGAGACTAGGAGTCTAGGAGGATTCTGGGAATTGTAGTGAGGAGAGCTCTCGCCATGTGATCTCCCAGGAGCAATGGGTGCTCAGGAGTGCGTCCTCAATAAGATAAGTTCTTATAAAATATATATTAGTAATTATGGGTTAATAATCAAGTCAGAGCTAGCCAATAAGAAATCAATAAAATGGCCAACAGCTTCATAATTAATATAGTGTCTTGTGTGTTATTTGGGGGCTAAAAGCAGCAATAGGAATCAGGTGACGGGCAGGAAGACTAAATGTTACAAAATGGTGTCAGAAGTGGGATTCGAATCTCTTTCAAATAAGCTTAGATTTAGATGGAATAGATATGTTTAGTTTAGGATGTAAGTAAATTATAACTTGCTTATCACCTTCTATGTATATATGTTGTATACGTTTAAGCTTTGTATCAAGTTTAAATCTTTTCTTTAGACTAAAAGGGGAATTGTAGGGAGTGATTTTACATATCACTAAGAGCTGACCACTCTAGTATGGGTGTGTTCACAGGTACGTATGGGTAAATAGAGCAAGGGGGAGGGGACTCTCTCTTTGGGTTTCGGTTTCTACCTGGAGAACAGTGTGTGAACTTTTGGTTCTCAGCTTTCTTGGCTTTTTACATAAGTGACATCTCTTTCAATAAACATCATAGGACATCCCTAAATTTCTGCTTCAAAAGTCTGTGATAGTTAGTTGCTGTTTCCCTATTACAACATTTCTCTTAAGTAGATCTCATTAGATTTATTTTAAAGCATCACCAGATATACATTATCAGGACGATTTTAAGAAAAACCATCTTCTATTAAGAATCATTTCTCTGGCAAATTTCAGTTTAAGAATACAGCTAGATTGCAGCTGCCTCCACAAAGTCAAGTGCCTTCAATTACTCAGTACATACCTCGGCTTCCATGTGATATGCATTTTCTACTCTTCGAATATCCTTTGTCACTGTTACATTTTCTGTCTGAAACACAAAGTACCAGAGTAAAGTTACTAAACCTTTGGCTACTAAGTCAGTTATTTTTACCTGACAATTAAGAAGCCTGAGTTTGAAATAGGAAGATACACAGTATACAAAATGAACTGCCTGCCTTGATGTTTCAAGCTTCCTTAAAACTGCCATAAAATCAATCAGAAGCCTACAAATACCGTTCAGAAATACCCGTTTCCACTTCTGTTTTAGTCATTTACTTCTCTTGTACAGAAAGTATAAATTACTTGACAAAGTATCTACCATTTACCTTTGGGTAAGTCACTCAGTATTTTTTGAGCCTTTGCTTCAATGTGCATGAAATCAGGTCAATAGACACACCACACAGTTGTTATAATGATTTAAAAACAAGTTGTATGTAAAGTACATGGCTAGAGAAGTCAGAAGACAGAAGTAGGCCCCATAATACTACAGTATAGAATTCCACTGTCTTCCCTGCCACAATGTTCTCAAACTATGAGTCAAAGGAAAAAATAGAAGGAAGAAGGAAGGAATGGAGGAAGGAAGGAAGGAAGTTAGATTTCAAAACCAACAAATATATTTACATGACCATGATGGTCCCTGAACTTTCCCACAGATATGGAAGAAAGCTAAACACTAAGTTCTTCCATCTAGGAAGCCAGTGCCTCGTGAATGAGTATTATTTGACATGGGCACAGCCATGCCAAGGACCTCAATGCCTCAGCACCATGGGCGTGGCAAAGCCTTCTTCCAGTCAGAATGCTGACAGTGTACGCAGAAAATGGCCTCTTTACACAGACACACACACACACACACACACACAGACACACAGACACACACAAACACACACTATACCCACGAGACTGCTCCTCTGAGATTAATTAACCTGCCTCCTTATTCTATCTACCTCCCCATTCTATCTCATATAGTAAACACACTGAGCTTCTGGGTATATCATTTCTTCCTTCCCTTTCTGTCTCAGTTAGGTCAGTCCCTGGAGCTGTGCAGAACACAGCACCTGCTGATGCTTGATCCCAGGTCAGAATCAGTGTTCATTAACTCTGCTTCCGTTCTCCCCTTCCCCAGTGAGAAGGAAGATTTGCTCACACATTTACTAAACACCAGTCTACAGAGGTAAAGCAGTTTCAGAACTGCTAACTAGTATACCCTGGAAAACAGATTGATCCATCAGAGGAGCATGGGGTTTTTGCCCTTTTATCTCTACCCCTACAGTTTCCAGATAAAACACTATTTTAACTGGACTTGCCTTTCCCCACTCTCTTCAGTACAGCTGTGTCTTTTGTTTATAACAGAATTGGGTTCATTCATCAAGTCTGAATTCTGTCCTGGGATTAATGTCTAACAGCTTGTTTGATACCTTTCCTCCCCCAGTTTTGAATGCTAATATCCACTTTTGGTGACTTAAAAGCTCTTTGGGTTTTGACAGATGTTTACAGTGATGTATCAACTTCTCCAGAACAGTGAAGAAGTTTCTTCCACAGTCAAGGTTCTCCTGTTCATCTCCTTTACAGTCAACCACTGAGTGGCCTCTGTAGGTTAGTCTTTCTGAATGTCATATGAATGGAATAATGAAACACCTGTGTTTTTGTTCTGGCTTTGTATTTACCAATATGCACCTAAATGAATACATTTTGGCTACACTATAAGTTAGAGGCCAGGGATATTGTTAAACATCCTACAATATACAAGTTAACCCAACAAAAGGGAATTATCTAGCTCAAAATGTCAACAGTGCTAAGGCTGATAAATCCACCATGCCAGGCTATTTCACAAGGCTTTCCTTATTAAGTTACAAGTTTGTTTCTACATACATATAAAAGGCAGATTTTTAAAACAAATTGGTCAATACAGGAATAGATATTTAAGTAATATGAAAAAGTAGTCTCAATGACCATAAAAAGCTATATAAGAATAAACCATACAACTATACAGAAAATTTTTGAATATACTTACTATGACACAATATTGTAACATCAGCAGTTGTCCTGAAATATATATGCCTAATAGCAAATATAAAGGGAAGTTCTACTTGTTCTGTAGAGGTTTCTACCATCACAATTACAGACTGCATCTCCATGTTCCCATTTAACATGCCCTGTTCCCTGCAGGAAGGAAATCTTTCCAGTAGAACAGTAATGAGGGGAGAACATGGCCTTAAAGGTTTTACAAAGATGTAATAAACTGTGGATAAGATAGGAGCACCCTAAGAACCCAATGTTTTACTCTAGATCTGGGTCAAAATCTCTTAAGAATGCAAAAACCAAAGACTTGGAATATTTCAAAATAAAAGGCAGTATAAAATCCTCATGTAATAGTTATGCTCCTACTCCAGAACAGCAACTGTGTGATTCAAGTAAGCCTTGAGAGACCACAACCATTTTGGATTAGCACATTTGCTTACCACAGACATGCAGATATCAAAATATAAGTTAATTTGTCTATAGCATTTCTCTTGCCACAAACAGAAGTTTAGATTGTTCATCAGGCTTTATTTCTATATTTATTCATGTGTATGAGTTTTGCTCACATATATGTTTGTGCACAATGTGTATGCTTGGTGCCCATACAGTTTAGAAGAGGCCATCAGATCTCCTGGAACTGGAGTTACAGAGGGCTGTGAGCTGCCATGTGTGTACTAGGAATTGAACAAAAGTCCTTGGCAAACAGCAGCAAGTGCTCTTAACCACTGAACCATGTGTCCAGCCCACAGGACTTTTTTCTAATGTGGTTACAATAACTAACTGTGGCTGTCTCTTAGGATGACTCATCATTGTGGGATGTAATGACTGGGAGTCAAACAGGAAGATATCAGGGAAGCAAGAGGACTAGCCACATGAAGCCTCATTAGCCACAAAATAACCTGATTTCACAGATATATAAAACTGTGACTTTTATTTTTATTTATTTATTTATTTACACATGTATGTATGTATGTATGTATTGGTTTTTCGAGACAGGGTTTCTCTGTGGCTTTGGAGACTGTCCTGGAACTAGCTCTTGTAGACCAGGCTGGCCTAGAACTCACAGAGATCTACCTGCCTCTGCCTTCTGAGTGCTGGGATTAAAGGTGTGCATCACCAACGCACAGCTGGTTTTTATTATTAAAGTAAACTTTTGCAAAGTTAACACTGACTAATGAAGGATATCAGGCACAGCCTCTTATCTAGTTAACAGAAAATAAAACTCTTGTTATTTTACCAAAATAAACTCCAAGCATAAAATATCTAATGGTCTATTAAGGGTTTCTAAAGATTCCAGGATGTGTCATCTAATGGCCATATTGCCTTTGAACCATGGACTGAATAAATAGTACATTAAAGGTAGAAAGCATACAAAAGATTAATGAATTTGGCTAAATAAACTGTCAAAACTTTGAAAGCTTGAAACTATGTAAGTCATATGACCAAGATGCAGATTTGTTTTTGTACATATGACAGTTATAAGTTATTGGTAACCTTAAAATGCAGAAAAGGCAAAGAAAAATGGGCAAAATATTATGACTAAAAAATTTATATGGAAAAGCTTAACTTCCATTGTAAAAAGGAAAATACCATGTCTTTGGACTTAATGAATTGAGAAATTACAAAAGAAAATAATGCTGTGCCAAGTGGAGAAGGTATAAACTAATCTTCCTAAATTTTTCATAAGCCTTCATATATACAGACACATATACATGTATAAATATGTGGCATGAGTTTTTTAATTATGAAAAACGATAGTAAATAAATATGCCAAACTATTCCTAACACTCCCTATCTTAATTTGGGTATGAATAGAAGCAGATTTGGAAACAAGATTTGGATTAATTCATTTTGAAGGTAATTCCAAAAAAATAAGTGAGTTATGGGAAGCAAGAAAGAAGAGAACCAAAAAAGGTTGGGTTGTGAAGTAAATTACCATTAGGGACAACTCAAAGTAACCCTGCAGAGAAACTGCAACTGGGATCAGAAACTATCTTAATTATTCCACTCAGCAAGTGAAGAAGCTGGGCTCTCCTTCCGTTCATTCCTGTCACTCAATTCAGTTCTTTATTACCTGTACTTGAAGGCTATTCTCAGGGTGGGGCAGGAAGCCTTAATTTCCTGGTATTAATGCATGACCCCATTTGCAGGAAGTTTCAAGGTTTGGAAGCTTTTACACCCAGGCAATTAATTCACACATGACAAGTGTTGGGCATATAAAAGATTATTAATATCAGCTACTGCCAAGAGAATAAAGTAACAATATACTGTAATACTTAAAAGCATGCATCAAAGGTCTTCGTTGGTATCTAACCTCTGTCATCTATCAGCTGTGGGCAAGCTATCTGCCAGTAGTCATTCTGGTCCTGAGAATTCTCTTCCATAAACCAGCAACTCAAATACTAACTTTACAGAGTAGGAATATTAAATGAGACAGCATTCCTATAAGGTCTAGCAACAGCAAGTAGCTGTCTTAATTATAAAGAATATCGAGACACTCCAATAGGACACCGGTGTTAGAATCTAAAATATCGTCTCAGTCTTGTATTTTGAGCACTTATTTCCAAGTTTGTGGTGCTGTTTTGAAGGCTGTGAACCTTCAGAAGGTGGAGCCTGGCTAGCAAAGCAGAAAGTAGGCCACTAGAGGTGGGAGTAAGGTGGAGTGTGATGGAGGAAGAACGCACTTGGCCCTGCTTCTGGTCCCATTCTGAGTTTCCTACTCAGGGACATGTGAAGAGCTCATGCTGCAGAAACTGAGCATCTCCTGCCTCCAGGCCTTTCCTGCCACCATGGTGAGGCCCTCTGAAACTGCGAACCACAACAGACTCTTCCTCTTTCAGATTGCTTGTCAGATACCGTAGCACCAGTAGAAAAGTAAAGCTGTACAGCCACACACTTCTACGTTCGGCCTCCAGGTCTTTCCTCTGAATTCTCTCCCATGCTGCCCGGCATCTTTTGTGCTCCAGTCACACTGCCTACTCACAGTGCTGTTAACATATATGCCTGCTGCACTCTGATGTGGAACTGGAATGATTTCCCTTTGGCCAGTCTGAATATTTTGAGAGAATGTCACTTCCTTTATGAAGTCTTTCTGGAATTGTTAAGGTAAAATCAGTGTACTACACACATACTTTCATGGCAGCATGAATCATACTATTCTATTCTGAGCATGGGATTCCAGCAGCAGAGGACTCAAAACTTATTGTCTCTCCATCTCCATCAAATCCCTCCCCTCAAGCCTCAGGGAAGAGGCAGGAACAGTGGGAGAGAAAAAGGGGAGGACACCGGAGGACAAATAAATTCTAAAATAACCAAGCAAAGCTCATGTGAACTCAGAGACCGAAGCAGCAATCACAGGGCCTGCACAGGTCTGCAGCAGGTACCGTGCATATATACTACAGCTTTTAGCTGAGTATTTTATGACACCCCTCAATGTATGAAGGAGTGGGTGCTGATTCTCGTGCCTTCTCTTGGGGTTCTTGGGTTCTTTTATTTTTCTATTTTTCTGTTGACTTGTCCTACTTTGATGTGATGATTTTTGTTTTATCTTATTATACTTCTTTTCATGTTTGGTTGTTATCTCTTAGAAGCCTGTTCTTTTCTAATGAGACAGAAAAGGAGAGGAGGTAGAGAGAAACTGGGAGGAGTAGAGGGAAGGAAAACTGTTTTCAGATTATATTGTACAGAAAAAGAATCTATGTTTAATAAAAGGGCAAAAAAGAAAAAACATGGAATAAAATATGTAAGCTTTAAAAAAGAAACAGATATAATTGCTTTTTAAAGCTTTTACTGGAAGAAAAAACTAAACATACTTGTGTGATTGGACCTTTGGAAGCTGGTGATAAGTAAGGTTTGGAGAAAAAAGATAAACAAATGTCTCTAATACTTTGTCCTTCACCTCTCTCTCTCTTTCATAAACATGCACGCACGCACGCGCGCACGCGCACACACACACACACACACAAATCAGTATCTCTCTTCTTATTGCCTACCAACCTGCCTGAGGCATGTATAGTTATTGAAAATAATACAATTATGAGTAGGCAAACACTGGAGCTTACAGCCTAAATTGGCATATAAACTAGAAAACAAATTATTCACTCTAATCTGCAATGTTTGTATGCCCCATTCATATATTAAAACCTAATCACTGGTGTAATTATAAAATGGTCTTTGAGATTAGATGATGAGGGCCTCATGGATGGAATTAGTTGTGTCCTTAGTAAGAAGAGGTCCCAGTGAGATGCCTTGTCCCTTCTGTCATAGAAGGACACAGGGAGAAGGCGCCATCTATGTACCATGAACTGAATCTTCACCAGACCAAATCAAAGCTGTTGGTGCCTTAGCCTTGCTAACTTCCAGGGCTACAAACACCTAAGTTTAGGGAGCTACTCAGACAGTGATATCTCATTATAGTAGCCCCTGAAATTAAGACCACATTAGGTTAAGTACCATGTAAATCTGAGATGACTAACAAATGTTTCTTGGGTAAGTAAACACTATTCAGAACTTGACATTTTCCTGTTAAAACAATGCTAAAACTGACTGCTATATCTTCATACAAATTCACAAATCCATGGTCTACAAATAATTGAGTTAACAACTTATGCATTGTTTCAACCTTTCCTCTTGTTTAAAAGTATTTTTCATTATATGCATTATGTAGATGAGCATTACTCAAATGGCATCATTCTGAGTGAGAAGTGCAAGAATTATAATGACTGACACACTTTATTTGAAGTAAAAAGTGGAGAATTGTATAGCGGGGATTAGTGTGAGAAAGGAATGCAAAAATGTGATTTTGGTCTGGGTCTTTAAAAACAATGTAAAGGTCATCTAGACTAAGAGGAGACAGAAGCCAGGGGAAAAGGATGAGAAGATCAGGTTCCATCCCTTAAGCAAGTGTTTAGATTGAAAGGGTCCTTGAATCCTGATTTTCGAAGGTATGGCATTTCTAGTACAGAAGCAAGATTATGTTTCACTTTGAACAAATCAGAGTTGCCCCAGAAAACCATGGTTCCTGCAGTTCGAGTCCTGTTTTGTACAATGAGACAGCTGTCCGTGGCTTATTCCAAAGAGTGGCACAGTTGAAAGCAACCTCAATTGTGGTTTTGGGAATAGGGTTTCAAATATCGTTCTTTAAAGTTCAGAGCATTATTTTATCTCTCTACATCTGGAAAATCTGGATATTAAAACACGCCTAACAGAGTTGGTGTGTGGAGTGACTAAGGCTATTTCCGTTTTTACCCCATTCCTTAAAGGAGGCTTCAGGTACTATCTATTCAGTGATTTGTTTCACGGATGTGTCTAGGAAGTAGAAGCATTTTACCTATGATGCCTACACATCCTGATTTTTTTAAAAGTTAAAACTAAAAAAGTTGGGAGATTTGGAGTAGGTGGTTACTGTAAAACAAAACAAAAACAAACAAACAAAACACGGGTGCTACTCTCACCCTGAACTCTTGGGGAGGGTCTAGGCCCTGCCCTATATGAAATGACAGACTATGGACACCCCCATGGAGGGTCTCACCCTCCCTGGGGAAATGAGGGGATAATGGGGGGGTTGGGGGGAGGGCACGGGAGGAGGGGAGGGAAAGGGAGAGGGACCTGGAACTGACTTGTGAAGCAACCTTGTTTCTTATCTAAATTTAAACTGGAAAATAAAAAAATAATAATAAAAAAAGAAAAAAAAACACGGGTGCTAAATCTGCAATTACACTTAAGATCCACTCCACAGGAAACTTTGATTGGGAGGACTCAGTTCAAGCTCTACTCACGTGCCAATTCAACATGCAGGCTGAATAAAAACTACCCCCAAAGAGGGGCTATGGTCCAACACTCTATTTCAGCAAGCATTTACATGTTAACTTTTCAAGAAAACGTGTCATCGCTCTAAGCTTAAAAACAAAATCACCCTAGCAAAATGACCCGAGACAAACCTACCCAATCTGCACTCGGGATTTCAAGTTCAGTAACTGCTGTCATTTAGATTCGAGAAGGGAGGGTCAAGCATCCATGGCGCCCTGGAATGAATACTGGGGTAACAAAGCATCCCCAGAGCTCCAGGGTCACCCGCCCCGCGCCGCGTCCTCCTCGGCAGGCTCACCTGCAGACCCTGCTGCTGGAGGCTCTGCGTGATGTAGTCCAGGCGGCGAGACACACTCTTCTTGGCCTCGGCAGCCGCCTCCTTGGTGCTGCTCACCCGCACGGTCACCTGCGTCCGGTCGGGGCTGGCGGACACCTCGGCCGCGCCGCTCACGTGGACCTCGCGGGCTCCGGGGTGGGCCTTCCCGGCGTGGGGACGACTGCCGACGGGCTGCGCCTCCAAGGCCGGCATCGGGTTGTTTTCCCGGCCCAGGTTAGCCCAGGGAACCAGTTCCATGAACACCCGCGACGGAGGGGCGGGTTGCAGCGACATAGCTGGGGCAGCCGCGTTGCCATAGCAATGCCCGCTGGCAGGCGCGGAGTGACGCCCGGCTCGCGCGCGCGCCGGGGCTCAGCGCGGCGCAGAGGATGCCGGGACGGAGCAGGGGTGGGGGGCGCGCTGGCGAGCGTGGGAGCCGCTGCCGAGTGGAGAGACCGGTGGACCGCGCCAAGTAGGCCGACTGTGTCGGTTCACGTTGAAAACAGTGATCCCGCGGCCCGCAGGAGCCTGGGCAAGCCACCCCGGGCTCGCGGGCAGTGAGCGCGGGCCTTCCACGTGACCTTGCCCGCCCCCTCCCAGTCCCCACGGGGACATGGAGACGTGGCCTCCGTAACCGGAGTGTATGATCCCCCCACCCCGACCCTGCCTTCCTGGGTTTTATGGTGCAGGTCGGCCTCCTAGTTTGTCAGGCTCCCATCCTCTAACTTGTCTTGAGATAAACCGCGTTCTGCCAATGAGACTCGGGGCAGTAAGTGTGGTTCTTTGAGTCAGTTTTTCCGGGACAGTGCTGTTTTCTCACACCTGCAGACCGCGGGCACGTGGGAAAACAGGAAACGGGATGGCTGTTGGGGGTAGCTACGATCTTTGGAATGACTGTCGTCTCAAATTCTAAAACCCTTTGGGAAGTGCTGGTCCTGAGCGTGGATGCTCGGCATGGTTAACGACAGGCGTGCCTGGACCTTGTGTAGTATACCTTCCTCTCCCCGGCTTGGAGACAGGGTCAGGCATGAGAACCTGCCTCACTGGCCTGGAGCCGTGTTTACCTGACCGACTTCGGATAAGGTTTCTACCCATCTCTTGATAGAGCCTCTATAATGAAAAGTTGAGCTTTCCTCCTTCAAGGCGTCCCATAATAGTATTCTTCCCCACGCATCTCCCCTTCTCCTCTCCCCTCCCCTCCCTGTCCCTCCCCCTCCCCCCCCCCCCGTTCCTGTACCTCTCCCTCTCCCTCTATCTCTTTCTCCTTTCACTCTCCCCCTCCCCACCTCCCCTTCTCCCTCTCTACCCCTGGAGTGCAGAGATTCAAAACCAACACACCCGGCCTACAGTCATTTTCTCAATCACCAAGTCTTTCTGAAGACAGCTGCTCTGTTTACTATAATTTTATTACCAGATTCGGGAGGAGACAATTTTTGTTTGGGGGGCCGGGGAGGTAGGAAGTAGTTTCTTATAGAAACTTGGAAAGGTCAACCATCTTCGTGATTTTTTTTTCCTTAAAATTTAAAAAAACTGGATGGCAATTCAGCTATATTAGGTGGTAATCTCTTCCTTGGGGCCATCATTAGGTTAACATAATTCTTTAGATTTTTTTTTTTTGAGACACGGTTTCTCTGTGTCATAGCCCTAGCTGTCCTGGAACTAGCTCTGTAGACCAGGCTGGCCTGCAAAGTGCTAGGATTAAAGGCATGTGCCGCCACCACCACCAGGCGATTCTTTAGTTTGATGTTTATTGTCAGATGAGAATATATACTATAATAATTTTAAAACTTCCGCCATATACATATATATACATATATTTTGCAACTCAAGGCAACAAAACTATCTCTTAAAATTGGAGGATTTTTTTTTGATGGACCACAGGGATTGAAAGGTTCTCTGGCTTGGATTCAAGTGACTTTAATGAATGAATGATGTCATAGGCTTAAAAAGGAAAAAGAAAAGAAAACCATAGATGTGTAGAGTACTATAAATTTTTCAGATTGGTGGAAAAATGATTAAGTTGTATTATTGGCTAGCTGTGTTGAAGAAATAGATCTGAATATCATGTGATACACTGAAAATAACATTCAAAAGAAAAAATATGTACCTACATGTAATTCTGAGGAATGAAGAAAGCTTTATTTATTAAGCATATTTTAGATGCTGAAGCAACCATAAAGGAAAACTCTGGAAAAAATTGACTACACCAAAAGATTAGAAGTATGTTCACCAAAAACAAACAAGAGGGGAAATAAGTATTTGTAATATGATGTATAAAGGGGCTAGTGTCTAGATGTTTACAGTGCTGTCCTTCCCCCAACCCCCCCCCAAACCAAATAGACAAGGAATACAGAGATAAACTTAACAGGATCCAGTTTTGACTGATGCCTAGCACAACTTCATATTCTCAGAGTTCAAGATCACGGCATCAGTGGGTTTGACTTCTGAGGTATTCTGGCTTGCAACAGCTGCTTTCACAGGACCTTGCTTCTGTGCCCTATGCATACCATCCATGGTGTGTCCTATTACATGGAGTAGAGACCGGCACTTAATTAAGTTAACCTTAATTACCTATTTAAAGGCTCTGTCTCCAAACACAGGCACATTGGGCTTAGGACTTCCGCAAATGAAAAGGAGTAGGACAGACAGAGCACGGGTCAATTCCTGAAGACCCAAAGTACAGAACGATGGTGGCCGGTAACACTAAGAAGAAAAAGTTTACACAATGTATTGGCAATTAAAGAAATGAGAATTTAAACAGATAGAAACATCTCATTTTAAAACTGTAATTTTGGCAAGTCATGAATTCTGAAGCAGAAAAATGGATAAAAGTAATTTTAGAAGAAGGGGAGATGAGTTCTTAGTGACAAAACTATATAATAAATAAGAGTAGATATGCCTGGATGATTTATGAGTTTTTCAGAGGAGAATGGATGGAATGAATGCATCTATTTGTTCAGCTTCTTCCTCAGAGTTAAGACTCAGCCATTAACAACCATTTTGAACAAGGTAACTACTAAATTGATTGAATCAAGAATATGCATCCAAATTATTTTTCTTGTTGTTCTGAAAGAAGAGACATGGAGTAAACAAAATCTGTATCACTAAGTCATCAGAGATGCATCATATGCAAATTATATCAGATGCGCAGTTTTTTTTTATTAAGGCAGCACTGCTCTGGAGATAGCATAGAATTCTTGAAACTTCTCTGCAACTTCAGTTTCCACAGTACTTTTCATATAGAAGCTCTTCCTGGGAGTCACTGATGTGATGATCGATTTCCACCTAATTATGTTCTGAGAATTCATATATTCACAGTGAAGATCATTTGTCCAACATGACATTTTTATTAATTGTTTGGGAACTTTACACAGTACACCCGTTCACACTCGCTTTCCATTTCTCTCAGGTTCACCCTACCACCTTTGTGTCCTTACCGCCAAAAGAAAACAGAAAACCACATGTATTCCAAGTTCAATTTGTGTTGCCCATATTTTCATTGGAGCATAGTCAAACTCCCAGTGGCCAACTCCTTAAAGATAACTGAGGCCTTTTGCCCATGCCAGAAGCCATCAACTGTGAGGAGCTACACTTCAGCATCCCTGTCACAATTTTTGAGGACTCTTCAATGGCTTTCTGTCTAGACTATTTCTTTTGTGGGGAGCAGCGGGTTGTCACAGAAACCTTCAATATCTCTTGCTCTCAGTTATGAGTCTACAGTCGTCGACACCATTGCAAAAGAAACTTCCTTGCCCATAAGCCCATAACAGCCAGGAACAACATAGAACACAGACCTCAACATGGTCCCCAGTGACATCATGGCCAGATTACAGATACCAAAGGACAGCCACATGGCCTCTGGCATTAATGTGGACCAAGGACACCAACATGGCCTCCGGAGGCAGTGTGGACATGGAAGTCTTTTGAGGAGGCCCAATCCAGAAAATGAATCCTTCTCCACCGTGGACTTCGTGCTGTTGCTCACGGGAGGGCAATTGCACATGCAGCTGCAAGGCATGTTGAGGGGCAGAGGCTCTGTGAGCTCCAGACTGCTGCACGCTACCCTGCCTGCACTCCTCAGGATGACATGCTCCTTCCATCCACAGCAGCCATGCTTCCACACCTGCTGTCAGCACCGTCTAGTTCTGCCTCTCTCTGACATATGCATGCCACTCTGTTCACCAGCCTTCCCACGCTCCAGCTCACGTTCATTCATTGAAGTGGCTTTGCAAGCTGCACTGTGTTACACAGTGTATGTTTTTTCCCAAACAGCATTACATACAAATACTTGTTGCAACAATTCACTGGTCTGTTTCAAGGTTTCTGGTTTCTGAAGCACAAATACTGAACTGTTGCTGAGACTAGCCCCAGATAACCTGTTGCCCAGAGTCAGGGTGATCTTGCATCTGCTCCGGGCATCTGAAGGTAGGATCCAAAAAGAGCTTTATTCAATGCCCGACTCTGTGTCCGCCCTAACATCTTCCCAACTTGATGGTCAAACCCTTTAGTTCAAAATATAAAAGTAGAACTTAAAAAGAAATAGACTCACTAAAGAAAACACAAACCGGACAAAAACACCTTCAGAAGTATGCCTCATCAACAGATTAAGACATGGGAGAGAAAATTTCAATTCTGAAGACAAGGTAGAATGGATAGCTTAGTTAAAGAAAATGTTAATTATGAAAAATAAAGGCATAAAACACCCAGAAAATCTGGGTTGTATAAAAAGCAAGTTAAGTAGACTAGTAAACAGCATCCTCCACAGTCTCTGCTTTATTTCCTGCCTCTGTGTTCCTATTTGAGCTCCTGACCTGACTTCCCTTGGTGGTGGACTCTATCCTGTACAACATAATAAACCCCTTCCTCTGTAAGTTGGTTTTGGTCAGTGTTTTATCACATCAATGGAAAAAAAAGCTCAAATGAACTCAAATACATAGAAATGACATTTGTATTATTTCATTTTTGAATTATCATTAATAATTATTTTCTTATTACTTTGATTTTTCAAGACAGGGTTTCTCTGTGTAGCCCTGACTTTCCTGGAACTTTCTCTGTAGACAAGGCTGGTCTTGAACTCAGATATCCTCCTGCCTTTGCCTCCTAAGTGATGGTATTAAAGGTGTGATCCATCACTGCCCTGCTTACTAATTATTATTAAGTAAAAGTATATTTGAATAAAGCACTATAAGTAGAAAAATTTAATGATATGAAAATACTTTCAAGAAGTGTAATTTTACTTTTAAGGAATACAATTTTTAAATTTTTATTTATTTATTTTTACATCCCGGCTGCAGTTTCCCATCCGTCCTCTACTCCTAGTCCCTTTCTTCATTATCCCTCTGTCCCCTGACTCTATCCAGGAAAGGGTGAGTCTCCCACAAGTTTCAACAAAACATGACACATCAAGTTGCAGCAAGACTAAGCACCTTCCCGTGATTAAGGTTGGGCGACGTGACCCAGCATGACTAGTAGGCCTGTAAGAGTCAGAGACAGTCGTGTTCTAGGGGAACAAATTTTTATAGAACACAATAAACATCTTGTTTTGAGAGGTTTAAATATTATTGAGGTTATAATTTTTTCCCTGAGTTTTGATGAATGACTCTTAGGAGTCTAAGTGGGAAAAGTGATGTTAATAACTATAACATTTACGAATGCCCAGGTGTTGTTACAGATTCTTTCCATAAGATAGGTGTTTTAATTACTGCAAAAACATGAGATATATTCTCATTTGTGTGTGTGTGTGTGTCTGTGTCTGTGTGTCTGTGTATGTTCATGTGTACATGCAAATGTATTTATACCTGTGGACATGTTCATGTGTAAGTAGGCCAGAGATCAACATTTTGTGTCTTTCTCCATTGCTACCCACTTTAGTTTTGGAAATAGGATCCTTCACTGAACCTGACATTCATGATTAGACAGGCCTGTCTGGATAGGCACCTCAGCATCTCTATTTCCATCATCCCAGTGCTGAGATTATAGATGTGTGCCATTGTGCCTGGCCTTTCACATGGGTCCTCGAGTTAAAAAAAAATCAGGTCCTCATGCTTGCATATAGCAGGTGCCATCTCCTTAGGACCTTGATTCTCATTTAGATTCTCATTTTAAAAATGAGAAAACAGAATCCTGTTAAGGTTAAATGGAAAGCCCTGTTACATGCCTAGGTGAGGTTTGACTTAAAGTCTCACTCTCATGTTTAAGCTTTTAATCAATACACTATAACAGATTTTAGCTGAGAACAAAATTGAGAAGTCACAGATGTGAGAAGTCTGCATTATCACCTGAGAACAAAATTGAGAAGTCACAGATGTGAGAAGTCTGCATTATCACCTTCAACTGACCCTTCTTCCTGTAGAGAACTCTCTTACTGAACAAATATCTTCTTCCTGGTTTTAGTCATTTATCTTCATCAAGAGATTCATGTTTAATTTGAATATTAATCTTCATCTGTTTCTTCCTAAGGACTTTAGGAAACATCAGGATTTTTTTGAACAAAGAAACTATACCATTCCTGAGATCAAGTTTAACAGTTTGTGTTATGTTAGGATTCTTTGAATCCCAGCAGAAGAAGACAGCATGCTAGGGCCTATCACATTCTCTTTCCATCTCTACCCTGGAGCTCTATGAACTTGGCCAAGTTACTCAACTTATTTAATGTCAGCTTGCTCATCTGTCTTTTGTGGTATGTGTGCTGAGCCTTCATACTTGACACCTCTGTCACAGAAGCTTTTTTCACAAGATTAAAAATCAAAGTGACTGATACTTTCAACCATTGGTCTTATTTTCAAACAGCGACAAGATGTCATGATATAGACTACACTCACACATCTTTTGCATACTTCTTTATTACAAATCATGCCAGATATTTCATGTTCTTTTGCATAACATATAGAGCATTTTTTGTGGGAACTAATCTGTTCTGGCCTTTAGATTTCATCTTTGCCAAGAGGTTTGTGAATGCTACTCTTGAAATGCATGATCTGACCCAAGTTGACAAGTACTTATTTTCCTTCCTGAAGCAAAAACCCATTAACACTTCAAAAAGTTTCAAACCATAAGATTCCTACTATTCCAAACATTCTCTCCAATTCAGCCTGACAGAATTTATCACACACCTGGTAAAAAAGCACAGTCATCCCATTGCCACAAAATTGTAACATAGGAAGTGCTATATATATATATATATATATATATATATATATATATATATATATGTATGTATGTATACATATATACATATATTTATTTCTGGTCCATCAAAACAATGAAACTACATTATTATTCTTTTAGTGATTTATTTACTTATGAATTTGAGATTAACTGAAGACTCACTGTATCAGATACCGATTTTATCAAACTATCTTTAATAACACTTGTGTAGCTAAGGTTTTTTTTTAAATCTTTGACATTTTCTTACATATATACAATGAATTGTGATTGTATTTACCTCTATTCCTTGTTACCACTTTCTTTTATGTTTGAGCTTTTTAGCCTTCCAAGTTAGTACATCAGTGGCTCCACCATGGAAGAAAATGACTCTCTCTTACAACAACCATTAATATATTTTTTATTTCCATTTTCTTGGTGGCTACATGTTTTTATCAGTACAAAAATGAAAAACTCATTAAGGTAACTTCATTTTGTGTTCCACAGTCCATTATTTATTTTCTCTTGACAGAAGCAGATGATTCCCTTGTTTTATCTATCTAGTGAACATTTGTAGTGAACATTTATTAACAAATACTGAACGGATCCTATCTCATTTAATTTTCTCAAAAGTTCTCAGATCAACTCATTGCCTCAGCTTTACAGTTACAGAAACGGTGTGGAAAGGTGAGTTTATTGTCCACAGTTACCCAGCACAGTCAAGATTGAAATCTAGTCTGTTACACTCCTAGTGTTATTTACATAAAAATGGTCCTAGTTGTTTCAGAGATGGACCTGTGGTCAACAGTCTTTGCTATTCTTGCAGAGGACATAGTACCCACATCAAGAAGTTCATAACTACTTGCAACTGCAACTCTAGCAATACCCTCTTCTGACCTCCATCAGCACCTGTATACACACACACAATTAAAATAAAACATAAAGATGATCATAGGGGTGAGCCCTTACTGGGCAGGTAAGGATATAAAAGGAAAAGGGAAAGCAAAGTTCTCTCTCTTGGAAGTGGGCCATGCTTCTGATCTTCCCAGCTTGTGTGTAAGTTCTCTGGTAAATAAATATATTAGTTTCCATATTGCATTGACCTCCCTTGTCAGATGATTCTATATTTATATAGTTTCAGAGGCTTTATTACCTCTGAATTTTATACTAGGTAGGAACATGGAAGTGAAGATTATGAAAATACCAGTGTTAATAGCTATAGAAGCCAATAGTAATATAAATGCTAGAAATATTTATAATGATAAAATTATCAAAAAATACTAATAGCCAGCATTAATAATGTTAATGTGGGTTACATTAATAATACAATCAATATTAATCTCGCTTACTACAATCTGGTAAGGTTCTGTTAGACCTACATTCAGTTAAATGCAAAATTTATTGGAAGTTAGATAGAGATGGCCTGAAAAGCAACCTGAACAATTAGAAGACAGTTTTTTATAAGTCTGTTTAAAAGAAACTGATGGGTATTAAACATGTTATTTGTGAAATTGGAGTATTGGAAAGATAGAATTTTTGCATGTAAATGCTACATATTTAATTTAGTTTTGGTATGCAATCAAATGAAATTCCAAATGCCTTTCTTTTTTAATCAACACAGTTCAAAGAAAATAACATAGAAGACAGGGTGAAGTCAACATGAAATCTATTTTCCTTTCATACTGCATTTATTACTCCTGGAGGAGTAAGAGCCCCAGGGAGGAGCGTTGCTTTAGACACTTTCAGTGTCTTAGCCGTCAGTCACTCACAAACTTCTTGGTGCTGCAGCTACTACTAACTGTCTACATTATACTCTGGTGCTTCAAAAATTGTTATATTTGTGGTTTTTTTCCTCTTTTCAGCTTCTTTTTGGTTTAGAACACAGGTCTCTGCTGTAAATATTTTCAACCTGAATAATGTTATTTGTTTGATCTTCTCTGTTGCTATGCTTTTAAAACCTGTGTGTTAGAATATTCTCATGGGTCAAGAGAAAACAACACGGATCAGTTTCTACAGATTCTGATTTAGTTGATCTGGAATTTAAGACATTATGAAAGGGTTTATTTATATTTTATGTATGTAAGTGTTTTGGTTTCATGTGTGTCTGTGCACCATGTATGTGCAGTGCTCATGGAAGCCTGAAAAGGGTATTGAATCATTTGGAATTGGAGTTATAGATAGTTGTGAGCCACTGTGTAGTTACTGTTCTGTATCCTCTACAAAAGCAGCCAGTGCTGTTAACCACTGAGTCCCTGATGCTTTTTTAATAGACTAGTAGGAGATTTGCATTTTTAACGAAGGTTGAGATCCACTAATTCACCATGTGTTTTCCTTTATTTTTTAAGCTCGCTTCTATTAGCTTCTCATCACTGAATTCTCTGTCCATTAGCATTAATAACAGGATGCTATCAATGCAAAATTTCCCAAGCCCAGTCTCTTGAGTTTAGGTTATAAAGCTTGAGCCAAATGTACAAAATATAGAATTAGAAGAATTACCTGGGTTATATAGTGCATAATTCCATTAGCTGTAGGCAACCAGGGCCAGATTTTCGTGGTTTGGAGTGACTTAGTACTTAAAACTTGAGTTGACAGCAGTTTATGTAGGTACTTATACCTTAGTAAACAAGGCTGGTAATTGATCTTACATATGTACTATTATGTGTGTGACATTGTCATATCAAGAACCATCAAAGATTATTGTGACTGAATTTTTTACAGTCATCAATGT